GTCAGAGCGACCGCTGCTTCTAGCAGTAGTCTGGCCAGTCGGACCTTCCTGATTCTTCATGTCGACGTCACGCTCTGTTGCTCATTCTGATTCGTATTTTATGGTTTTCACATCATATTTTAATATACATATGATGTTAAATAAACTTTCGTACATGATAATAATCGACATATAATGCTACACATTCATACATGACATTAAATAGTTGTGAACAACAGTACTAGGTAATGATAATGAGACTTTGACTTACACATTGTAGGTGACCAAATACAGGATTCCACATGATGAAAAACCAAATCAATGAAATGTCATGCATGTCTTTAAGACATGAGATTATGAACAGACGAAAAGCTGAATAATATATAAATGATTTAGAGGTTGTGTGTGATGTACAACTCGGGAATGACTAGGAAAGCTAGAGGGTTACCCATGTACATCAGATCTCATTCTAAAACACACTTAGAATGAATGCAGGCATGAAATTTCAGCTATTGGTTTGTTATATTGGGCGGTTCCGGATATGGGGGCATTAAAATTGAAGCGATACGTGGATCTCTAGGGAGCCAAGGTTGTAGTTGATGGTGCCTTTTCTCTTTAATGTATTTGAAATCTTCGGGATCTAGTGAACAACCCATCATATACCATCATCTACGTAAGAAGAAAGTGATGTCAGTTTGATAATGGCGGAATCGTGAGTGGAAGGCATATTTGTAAGGTCGAGGAATGATAAGGGATTTCCTTTATAGATGTATTGTTCCCGTTGAGCCAGAAAGACGGCTCTATCCCAATTCTGACATGAATATCTTACCTTTGAGAGTGCCTGTAACTACATGTCTGATTAACAACTAAGTGTTTGTCACTTCTTTCTGTTTATATGTTAGGTTACATGTTTCTTAATCATTAATATTGTTCACTTGATTAGTGCACATATTGCATGCATGTCTAATAATAATTAATATGATTTGTTACTTATTTATTGGCAATACCTGCTGGACTGCTCTGTCAATCCCTGGTTTTGCATTGCTATGTGTTGCGGATGGCTGTTAGCCAGAGATCAGGTCACGATGAGTAACTATTAATGATAAGTATTCTTTTAAGTTTGGGATGAGCCGTGATTTACAGGTTCTAAGTAGATAGCAATCCACATGTCCTATGTTTTCAAGTTAGAAAATTGGTTTATCTTTATTAATAGAGCAGTGTTGAACACCTTCTATTAGTGCTACCTTAGATTAGTTTTATACAGTTAGCACTAATAGAAGGTTAAAATAGTTAGCTAGCAGGCTTCAGTGTACCTTATTGGGAAGATTAGAATACCCACAAATACATTCTTCGCTTGTCACGTTTCGGTCCAACTGCAGATAGTCCTTCCCTTATGCTGAAATCTATTGCACAAGCTCTCGACATGTCTTTCCTACCTTTAATAATGTGCAAATGATCAATTAATCAAATATCAGACTGGATGCAGTTTAAAGAGTGGTCCTCGAAAATTCTTCATCCAATTTTTGCAAAGGTTGGAATGTAAAATGAAGGACAATTAACAAGATGGATAGGAAAAGTTTTCTCCTTTCAAATATCAATGCATGGACTAGTGTTGCCCACTAACTTTTAATTTTCAGAGAAGCATCCTCAAGTCCTGTAAAAGACTTACCGGATATTAGATTGGAATTAGTGTTTCCTTGTTGACCAACTATTGATGTCTGTTTTGATATATGCTAGCTGACTTTACTAGTGAGATACGGGAATTAATAAAGGATCCGATATTCACCATTTGAGATTGAGAATTGCACGACTGGAGTTTCATATTGCGTGTAGAGAATCTAGTACTTGCAAATACTACTTTGTTTCAGAAATACTCAAAAGGCAATCGCATCTGGTATTATAATGTAGCAAATTTCTGATGGGAGTTTTACGCACACTGTATCTAGCTGTTTTATAAGTTTATTATTCATGTTGACATGTGTAGGGTGTATCTGGTGTCGCTTATGATTGTCTTTTAACAAATTGGAGGGTACGGTATCTAATTAAAAAAGTACTTTAAAGAAAAATCAAGTCACAAAAACTGGAGATTCTAAATTTTCTAGTTTCTCTCAAACCCAAAAGCTGAAAATTCATCCATTTGATATCTCGTAGTTTCTCCCATGTTCTTTTATGCAATTTGATTCTAAAATTAATTTTCAAAGTTTCCTTTCTAGGTTTCTGATGCTCACCATGATCTTAGCTTATGTGCATCCATCCTTATCAAAAATCCTTCAAACCTTAATTATGCAAGGCTTCTTCAAGAAGCGCTTTGGCGTAAGTCCTTTAAAGGACACATACAAGCAAAGCCGTCACATACACCCATAAAGTTAATATGAAACCTCCACCCTCTGAAGGTGAATCGTATATAAATATATTCTGATCTTCTGCATGGTATCTTTCCATCTTATATAATTTCTTACCTAACGACATTGATTATGCAGTTGTATTTGTTTTTGTCCGAACAAAATGAAACTCCCTTACTTGCAATAGAATGTTCATGGCATACTTGGTCAGTCTGTAGTATTAAGTTAGCATTTTCTGATTGCAGCGTGTAACTAGTTGCAACTTTGTGTTAATTTTAACATCAAATATGGTCAAACACAGTTGCATGCAGCAATACACTTACATGCCTTTAACTGATTGTTTATTTATATAACTTCAGGTTCTCTACTTTTAGTCTGATTGTTTATTTATATCACTTTTGTTTGTGTTACTCTAGGTTATCATATTGGTTTATTATGTCAAAAAAAATTATTGCCCAGGTTCAATGTCAGTTTTATCTGTTTTACTGTTCTCTTACCCTAAATACTTCAATCGACTTCGTTCCTGTGTTGAAACTTCAGTTACAACATTGCTGTGTTGAATGCAGATCCTATGTTTTCATGCATCGTTCCCTAGGTTTTCTTCTCTAACAACATTCTTGCTGAATTCTCATATATGTTATTTGTAGCTAGTGGCAAAGCTGCAGAGTTTGGTCCCCTGAAAGGTGGTTACATGTTCGAGACGTCAACTGGACTGTCACGGATGTGAGAGTTATTGTAATATTTCTGGCTTATCACTGAATTCAAGTATTGGCTGATGATTTTTTTCCTCTCTCAGGTTGTTAAGCTCACCAACCTGTCCAGTCCTGGAGGCCCTCGGGAAGAAGCTGTCCTTTGAGACAGCTGTTGGATTGAATGGTCGTGTTTGGGTATAATCATTGACCTTTTCTAGGTGTCTCATTTATATTTCAAGATTTATAATAGATATCTTAATTCTAGAATTCAATCACTTATCTTCTTAAATCATGCAAATTATAAATGCTTACTATCAGCCTAATGTTTCTAAATGATTGCCATTCCCTGAAAAATTCAACAAATAATTTTCTATCCATGAAGTACTCATGAAAGAATTGAAATCCATGCCCCCTAAGTGGTTTATTCTCTTTTGCAGTGTGTTTTTTGTTTCTCTTTCATTTTATGGTTTCCTTTTCTTTCTTTCATTTTTTTCTTTTTTTTTCTTTTTCTTTTTTTGCCTATACACATCCACCCATCCACTACCCCCTTTCGAATCTACCATATTTACAAGTATAACCCCCTTCAATCCATATATTTGCTAATTTACCCCCCAAAATCTCATATATTGGTTTAAATATCCCATTTTAATGGTGTTAGCAATGTTGATGGTGTAAGGGTGAAGTTCAGCTTGTTTCTGGCCAGAAGCTCATAATTCTGTTTCTTTTGGGTAGCAGCTTGTGTTGGGCTGTCATGCTGACTGCCAAAAGGCATAACATTGATGGGCTTTCATTTGGTGTGCGATGATTTCGTTCACATACTCACAAACAAATTGTAGACAATGTTTTTGGAATTATTACAAAGATCATGTATCACAACCCATTAAATCGCTAACTAGTTTATTCAACTTTCATTCAGGAGATATAATAAAAGCTATGTAACACAAATCAAAATCAGATTTCATGGATAATAATTGTCAAATTGCAACAATCTTTTTGCAAGTAGCTCAGAACAACATGTCAACCCACTGGCAGCAGTAGACGAAGGCATTTCAATAGCACCAAATTTTGAGAGAAGAGGAGTTAATGCGTGAGAAGAAAGAAGCTTGTGGACAAATGGGTGAGAAGAGAAGAAAAGAAATCAAGTTGGGATGCGGTAAAAATAAAACGCAGCAGGAGCAGAGAGTGGGCAGGGACCGTTGGGAATTCTTTTGATAACCATAATTAAGCACTTGACGGTTTTTAGATATTTAACATGATAATCATAATTAATCATGTGGGTGTATTTTGCACATTTTAAAAGTTTCAGGTAATGATTTAACCCCAAAAAAATGAGAAATATTCTGGGGGTATTCTCTAAGTTTGGCTGTTGGGGTTAGACTAATTTAATGTTCAAGATTTTGGTTGGGGTGTAAATTTATAAATATGGTAGGTTAGGGGGTGCGTGAGCAAAAAAGTCCATTATTTGATTGTCATCCAATTTCTTTGCATGCTAAGAACGATCAGCTGTCTTTTCAATATTTTCCTGGCTTCCTTGCAGTTATTTCTTCACTTTCTGAATTTTTACAGCATTGATGAATAGTATCCGATATCAAACTTGTGATTTATCTTACAGCTATATTTGCCCCTTTGTTCCCTTTTCTTCTGCTCCGATAATTGAACTTTTAATTCAGTGAGCTCACTGTATTTGCGTTCAAACTCTAGGTAAACGCTTCATCACCATCCACGGTCATTCTTGTATCAAATGCAATCAAGAGTTCTGAGTTCTTGAGTGGTGTGCAGCAAAGAATTATGGTGGAGAAACTCCTGCAGAGAGTAGAGCAGTGACGGCGAACTGATGCGAATTCTATTGGGTCTTGCATGTGGATTGATTCACGTGAACATCTTGTAGGAAGTCAATTATTCGGGATATTTGTTAGGATGAACTTAACCTGTCGTGTACTTGGTACCCCGGAAAGAGGAAGTATGTTTTCTATGAGCGTTAATTTATTGTTAGTTTTTAATTAATGATTTCTGTCGTAATTTAAACGGTAGATTTGAGCTATTGCAGCAAGGCACAGAAGAAACAGTTCAGAATGCAGAGACTGAAAATAGGAAGTAGCGGAAATAGTAATTTTTTTTATATTTTTTTAGAAGTAATGGAAGTAGAACTTATTCTTCTTCATTTATCTTTTTTGTTTGGATAATATTTAGAAATATTACTATGAAGTAATTTTGAGAATCATTTTTTTCCTTGTGGACCCCACCCTACATCAACTTTCGAAATTTTTTAGTGCATTCTAACGCGGAAAAATATCAAGGAAATAGAGGTGTCAGCTAGATGTCACGTCAGCTCTTAAAGAAGTAGCGGAAGTAGTTTTTACAGTGAAACAAACATAATTTTTTATATGGAAGTAACAAAAATGGACTATGCTTCATCTACTTCATAGCTATTTTCGTGTAAATAAACATGTCCTGACTTGTTGAGCTAGAAACGCAAAAGGGGGGATGTGTGAAGTTTTGTAAGGGAAGGGGGGAAATGTGAATTTTTCTGTCCCTTTTCTCGATCAAAAGCACAATGTCATCTGGCTATCATCTTCAATCACTATCATAGAGTTTCCAATTCCATTGGCCAGACGAATGAATTGAACGTATAGTACCTTAGCTTAGCAGCCTTGATGCCTTTATACCGACATTAGATGCTATCAAATATTAAAAAAAAAACATGTAGTTTTGGTGAGTGCATCCCTCTTTCTCTCTCTGAATTGTTTTTTTTTTTTTAACTAGCACACCTCTTCCCTACTCCAAGGGGGCGTTTTTCTCATTTATTATTTCAGGGGTTTTATCGCCATTAATCTGTTACCTGAGTTTCCGCTTCGCCAACCTATACCTATATTTTTGTCTTCCCGTTGACCATCTATATATTTTGTCAGATTGTCTGGGTTGGTTCCTACCTACTTATCATATTATTTTACAAATAATGATAGGGGCACACCCTCTACCACATTTCCAACCACACTACTTTTTTTGCTACAGTGCAAATGACCCACATGAGATTCTAATTTTTAAAATCTCATGTGGGCCTCGTGCACTGTAGCAAAGAGGTGGTGTTGTTGAGAATGTGGTAGAGTGTGTGCCCCTAGTGCTTCTGTTATTTTACAAAGGTTCCGAGTCCATTTTATTAAAATCAGTATTTTAGTAAAAGACTATATATTTTATTGAAGCAATGGAAGCAAGCGAAGAGAGGCCATGGAGAGAAGAGGAGCCAAGCTCGAGCCAGGATGTAGCTTGGTGGCGTGATTCGGAAATTATTGGTGACGATAAACTTAAGGGGGCAGTTGCGCCCCCTAAGGCCTTGTTTGGTGTGGGGTTTGAGGAGTGACTGTGAGATGAGGGGAGGTTGAACCGTTGAACGGAATCAACATCCCTTTAAGCCATCATGTTTGGTCGGAGGGGAGGAGAGGGGACGTGCTTATTTTTATAGTTTATTTTCTCTCTCTTGCATGTGTTCTTTAATTTGGAGGGGTTCTTCTCTCTCTACCTTACAAAATTTTAGCCTGTTTTAATTAGGCATCTAGCTTATTTATCAAGAATGTTGTTTTATAATATTATATTTAAATTTTTTGATACATAGATAATTATCTTCCTCCCCGTTCAAGAAATTTTTTCTGGAACCGCCATCGGTGACGGCACTACTCACTAATTAGGACTTGAGAGATTTATGATCTTCTGGAGGAGACTGAAAAATACACATTATGTGTTCCGCAATTGAATTTTGTTTATTCACGAACAAAAGAGACTAGAGAAGAAAGGGGAGATTATAAATTATTCATTCATAGACTTGATCTGAAGAAGATCAAAGTACACCATACATTTAAAGAGATACCAGGTCGAAACAAAAAAAAAACATATAAGGTCATAACATTATGCTGATAGACTCTCGAAAAGTAGGAGAGGCTCTTGGATGTGAAGAGTTGTTAATTATGTCGCATCTCAAAGGAATTAGATCTGCCATGTCTCAAATTCGCCCTTAACGAAATCGTAGTATCCTCCATGGATAGCGAGGGTCTTCTTCTCTATGCCTTCCTTAACGAAGGGGTACGTCTTCAAGTTCTCGAGGGAGGTATTCACAGCTTCCTACAAATTAAGACCGAAAACAACCGAATTTACGAGATAAACAGATGTTTACTCTTGACAGCATAACAAGTTGTCCCAATGTTTCTTTTTTTTTGTTTTTCATGTTTATATGGGACAAAATCTTAACAGGTTATTGTTTACATACATCATTGGGTAAGTTTTGTTTCCTGAAGTGAAAATAGGAGTAAGGACTAAATTAAGAAATGGAAGAGAAGTTCACCTTTTCACATTTGGTGCACTGCTCTTCAAAAGGCAATGCAGAGTGTTCCGAGATCACCTTTTCCTTTGCTGGTAAGCACACCTTCACCCAGTCCTCAATAAAATCACTGACCAAATGGGGGGAAATTTGAAATGATAAGCTTTCATTGTATTTATTTGTACAAAAAAGATTTATGAATAGGTGTACAGAAATTTGATTATTATTAAAAATTGCCCCACCGATACAGTAATGCAAATTTTGTAAAACTATTTGTTTGGAGAAATAGAATGCCTCCTATGCTATGAAGGCTTTGTCAAATGTCCTATATTTTAGATTCTACAAGTAGATTTCATATTTATTTGCAGCATAGTTTACCAAAAGAAGAACATTATCTGTAAAAGTAACAAGGTAAAATAGTCAAAAAAAAAAAAAGGGTCAAACGTTAAGGATATCTCCGAATCTATTAGATTGGATTTTCTAACCCTTTTTCTAAGTGGTGCCGCCGGTGTGTAACTTGTGTAACTTCTAACACCTTATCATTTTGGGCCCAAAGCCCTATAAAGAAATGGATACTAATATGAAGAGCATAATTATTAGAAACGCCCCCCATTGAAGGAAAACGACAGAGGGTACTGAAAGCTAAAAATGTTTTGTCAGTGGTGGAGGAATCACTAGCAACTGTCTCCATGGTCCTTTTTAAACCGTACACTTTTAATCTGACGGCTAAGATTCAGGAGACTGAATACAAGTACACTGCTGGATTCCCAACTCCAAAAGGGGAGTCAGGAAATGGGAATCCAAGATTTTGGGAGGTATAGGACTAAAGATAGGTCTCCTGTTTTGTTTGAAGATGGGAAGAATGTGAATAGACAGTTGCCTACCAATATTCTTCCCATTATTAAAAAAAAAAAGTAATTGACTTTTTGATAAAGGAGGAGTGGCTTCGTTGTCTAAAGATAGTGACAATGCAATCAGTGTGTGCTAGCTTTGCACCTATTGGAATCAAGTTGGCATATAATATGATATATTATTACAGATAAAGAAAGAGGGCCCACCTAAATAATGAATGCTGTTTTTTCTTTAAAAAAGTATAGAATGTAGGGGCTGTTTGGATGTTGAGGAAGCTTAGGGTATTTCTTGTCAGCTTTTCACCCAAATCGCACTAAATTTTTTTGAATTAGGTGGAAAGCTGCAAATGTCAGTGAGTGGTTGCTGGGAACAACACTGGAAAATTTCTGACATCTTGTCAGCTTTTAACTCTTTTCTCACTCAAAATATTTGAACCAAACAGCCCCTTAAAGACAAGGTATCTGATAATAGATGTCAATTCCTACATTTAGATCCCCAGTGAGACTTTACATACAACCATATGGGTAAACATTTAATTTGACCATTTTTTATTTCATTGTCTCTTTTTATTTTTTTTTTGGGGGGGGGGGGGGGGGGGTTTTTT